ACTTTATTGTTTAGTGGCTGCAAGTCTGACTGCGGAGTATGAGATCTTCACTTCTATTTCCATGTAAGAGAAAGTATTACAGGTTTTTCGATTTAAAATTCTTATGTATAGAACGGCGAAATTTCATTAGGTACCTCATAGGTCTCATATTATAAGTGACAAAAATTAGATGTCATTTTCGTGCACTTTAGTCTACATTTTCATGTTAGTTTTCAATTTTTTCTGCGACGTTGAATGACCTGAAAAGCTATGACAGGTCAAATATATGGAACCTCCACCTGGACACCAGTCCAGGAGGATGCTATCGTAGCGTAATGTTGCGTGGCACACCACCAATGCTTAAGGGGTTCGTCCTCACATAGTTTGATGAGTAAAAGTCCTGAAATTCTTAACAACTCCTAGATAATTGAATGATCTGAGCTTGTAACTTTCAGTTTTTATGTCATAGAAAAGCAAACTTTACAGCATACAGTAAATTCAACCTTATTTACCACAGATCTAAAGCATGAAATATCAGAATACAACGTCAAAGGCACCACAAATGCGTTCTCATCTCATACGCTACGCGAAGTACAAATGTCTTCTATGCTTGTAATTACGTCGGCACTTATGCTCTTGGAACAGAATGCAGTTATATTGTCTGACTACAGAGAGATAATAGAGAACAAACGTGTACAGACACTGTCAATGGAATATCAACTTTATGTCAACGTAATAAAGTTTAAAATCAGATGAAGCAATTTGACAGTTTCCAGGAGTTTGATGTGCTGAAGTCGGAAGCTATAATATATACATGTATTATCTATGTAATGTAAGAAGTAACTGATATAATTGTGGGATGCAACAGCTGAAGATATTGTCTACGATATTATCTACGGTTTAATAATGTCAAGATTTGCGTAGCGTGGGATCGAACACGGGTACTCGAGCTTTGAAGTTGTGGCTTGACTAGGGAGTCTGTCTGGAGTAAAGATTAACTGTTGGGTAAAATACAGAATTAGTACATACTTGTAATTATTGCATCACAGTACTTAAGCTATGCAATCGATGTGTTGCATTGATTAGATAAGTTATCCAAGTTAAGTCAACACAGCGGGAGTATGATGGAACAGCCTCTTCAGGAAAATTGCCGTGTTAGAGCTTTATTAGGAATGTTTGTAACTAAATGCATTTACCAATTTATTTTATTAATGATGAATACATTGCATTGACGTACGTCCTTCACGTAGAATATAAAGTATTGTTCAGGCTAAGCTTATCAGACAGATTATGTGTAAACTTATGTCGATAGCAGTGTTTATGTATGTATACGTACTGGCTACCACACCGACACGAGGACATCTATTTAGCTACTAACAGATTAATCGTTATCAGACAAGGCAAACTCACTTAACCAATCAATCTTTAATTTCGCTTGCAATAAATCAATAAATTCGCCATTAATTTTCGCGTACCGCACAGTCTTGGAGGCTGCTAAATAATGGATGGCCATCAGCTTTCATTAGCACCGAGAGGGGGCGCCACCGGCGACCGGCGGCCGGGCGCCGGCCGTCGACTCCCGATCAATACCACCCGACTGAAACCGAACCGCCACGGGACGTTACGACACAAGCCGAGCACCCCCGACTGCTACCGAACAGTGCCGAGCGCGCGCCGCACATGACAAATGTCACTGTGATACGGCTCTGCAGCCTTCAGGCCTCCCTGAAAACTGTGAAAATTCATTAGAAAAGTGCATATTAATCATACGTGTGTTGTACTGTACCGTGCACCGTTGTACAAAGTGATTATTGTTTGTGAAAACTGGGCGTAACATTGTGTGCTGTGTGAGTATTGGCAGCTTGTACTTGAAGGTAGCCCGATCTATATTTTGGTTGCAATGCACCACTTCTGTGCTGTTCTGATCTAGGAAAATGTTCCTCTAAACAAGACTATCAGATCTATTCTATGAATTCTATGAGTTTTCCTTAATATTCTCGAGAAAACGGTACTCTACCTCACGCCTTTTTGTGGAGACCATATCAAAGCTCGCATGTGAATGAATGTTTTCTTCAATGGGTGACAGATGATGGTAATTGGATTACGAGGTGTGGCGTATCGGCTTAAAACGTGTTTAAGTGTTTTTTATAAGACAAAGGCCATCGATGTCCAAGAAAAGAAAATTAATACGATTACAGGGAGGTTGCTGCGGCGCATGCTCGAAGCACGACCGCTCTGCGTCATACGTGTTATTATCTGTAATTTTCTGTGTTACTGCAAGTTTTACAAACAACTACTATTCATATAATATTATATTATATACATAAATGCAGTAACATTATAATTATAAATGTGCATGTAATTCTGAGAACGATACATTAACGTGTTTTGTTTTGAAGTTTTGAGAAAAATCAGTGACTACTTTGTGATGTTATTTCGTTTTCCTCATCGCATTTAGAGAATATTCTAAAAGTAAGTAAGTTTTTGAACTTTGCGTATTAGATAGGTTTTATTGTTATAACCTTTATCTTACACCTGTAGCTTCTGTGAATCCTTGATAGAAAAAATCGATACATTTTTCACACTGAATTAATCTCTCACCTTTGAAAATATCTATTTTGAAACACCTCAGCCGGCCTTGACCAATTTACATAAAAGCCTGCGGGAGGCGCTGCAGTAGCGGCAGACATGGCCGGTTCATTAAGATCCCTTTCAATGTTCTCTAAACCTCTTCCTCCAGTGTACTTGTCGAGGTCACGGAGGGGAGCGGGAGGCCTTTCATCACTGGTCGACAGTAGCTGTCATTGTGACAGTTGAAAGCTCTCAGCGGGTGTGAAAAGGATGGGTTTGAAAATAGAACGATCATATTTGAATATTTAATTAAAGAATAGAATAAAATATATTAAAAAAATAAAAATAGAACGTGGGTGGTCTGCCATACAGGCTTTGTGTCCTACCAATATCAATTTAGGTCTGTTAGAGTTTAATTAAATATTCAAACGGATACATGACAGTTTGACATTTGTAATGTTTTTTGTGGACAAATAAACCTGTTGTTTCGCATGCAAATCGTGTCGTAGTGGGTTCATTAAAGAGATTGTCATTTTTTATAGTAAAGGTAATAGAAAAGGTAAGTGTAAGTAATAAATCGTGGTACGGTCAAGGGCCTAAAGGGCCGTTATCGAATAGTTGTTTGGTATTAATCACGTGATGGTAGTAGAATCGAATTAACTTGAATTCTTTAGGCTAAGTCGGTGTGGGGACAGTCGCTAGTTGGTTCGGTTGGGTGAACAAACAACTTTCGAACGTAATGCGTCGTCTGACCTCTGTCCTCTGGCAGACGGCGCTACGCACTAGACACTATGCTCAGAGTAGGGTGGGTGTGCACTGTTGTCGGCAACCGAATCAGCTGATTATTTATTTTAATTATTTCGTTCGCGATTGGCATAGGTAGACGCTTTTTGTTTACATTCGGATATTTAAGGAATTTATTGAATAGTAACTTATTTGGCAGTGTCCTATTTAGTCTTAGCTTAAATAACGTAAATGAGGTAATAATCGAACAGAAAATTATATTTGTAATGTGATACTAAAATAAAAAAATATCTAATCATGGTTTAGTCGTTTTGTAACAAACGAGTTACAATCTGAAAAACTTCACCATATTTCTACATCTAAAAATTGCAGTTTATATATTTTACAAAAAAAAGAAAGCTCGTTCCAATGGCCGCCAACAGTGACTGCCACCTTACTCTTAAATGAATTACGTTCAATAAATTATTTGTTCCGTGTTTCATATGTTTACTTTCTTTTATTATCTGTCGTAGTGTGGGTGTGTGTGTGTGTGTGTGTGTTGAGAAAGCTCCCTACATAATACACATGTGTGCTTTATAGGCATTCTGACCAAGAAGACCTAACGAATGAACTAATAAACAAGAATTTGCATATTAATCATTGATGCTCATTATAATAAAGATAACACAAGAATAAATTAAGCTTTGTGTCATATTTTTCTGTGATTAATTGCACAGATGATTTTTTTACGTTCAATTAAATGTTGGACCGTTATTTCGAAACTTTATTTTTGTTGTAATAGGGTCGTAAATCATATGGAGATCTAGACTGGTTGTAATTCTAAAGGTTCATACATCAATAAATATTAGCCTATGTGATGAGTGGTCACCACCGCTACTTTTCCCGCGGGTTTCTTTCGGGACTACACATTAGACCTGCATTTTTGGAACTATCATCTTCTTTACTCGATCGTAACCAAACCTTCTTACGTAGAGAAGGTTCCATAGGAAGCTATAGGCATCAGCAGTTGATTAACATGGTTTGTTGATGATGGCCATTCAAAGTCACAATCAATTAGACCAGAAAGGCACTTTTGAACGTCTGCAAAAAAATTTAAAGTGAAGATACTTGCTCATACCAAGTATAGATTCCTAGGTTACTCTTTTTCAATCAGGTTCACAATACATTTCTTTAGATACATAATTTTGTGGGTTCAGTTCCATTTAAATCGAACCAGAAATCGAAGGTTGTAGGGTCATCGGTTAAACGATTACACTAATGTACCCTAATGAGACATTTTCGAATCACAATGGGAATCGTTGAAAGTAAATGTTTTAGGAAACAGTACTTTCTACCGTAAAGTGTAGTTAATTAGCATTCACTGGGTACTTTTCTATCAGATGCTAATTAACGCTTGACAGTAACTTAATGAAACTCTTTGACCATTCTCTAACAGGCAAAGTGTGGTCACCATTCTATACAATTTATAATTGCACTCGAGTTGTGAATTATAGCAATTAGAAAGGAAAAGCTGGTCTTTAGAAGCTAGTCTTTTTTTATTGGTGATTGTTGTTGATCCTGATTTATAGGAGTTACTGTGGGTTTATTCCAAAAAACTCAGGATAGGAACTTACGACATATATTCGCATTTATTTACAATATATCTTCCTCTTGTTGCTTAGAGCGGCGGCGGTGCCGGGGGGGGCATGCGCCGGCGGCGCTGAGGCATGAGCGCGGCGCGCGCGCCGGAGCCCCGCGACCCACCGCGCCACCACCGCCAACACCCACAGGTAACATACTATGTCCTATATTATATACAACATTCTTATTATATTAATGGAATATATCTTAAGAAACGAATGTAGAGGTTGATGAAAGAAAAAATAGATGGCTTTTTCACAAAGGAAAGCTCAGCTCTGTGTCAAAACTTTCTGTGGAAAACTCAGTTCAGTCTGTGTTACCAGACACAGTTGTTTGTTTTGAGACACAGACTGAACTGAGTTTTCCACACTTGTGGACTCTGTGAAGTAAATCAGAATTTTCTTTATCTGCATAGCGAACTACGTACGTATCATAATGTATTGTTACACTTGATGACGAAAATAAGAAAATGTATTTTCCTTTTCTGTTCTCAAGTTGTAATGGTAGTTCTAAAGATATCTTTCGTTAGTACAACACCACTTAGTATAAGATCTAGTTTACATTTTTAAACAACATTACTTTTAACAATTCTACTTTGATGGACCTTATTTGATTGATAGCAAAAGGAAATAAATTGTGAACTAAGTTTTAGAATATCGTTCGAAGATTTTTTGAATCAGGAAACATTAGTTTTTTAAACACTGACAACGGTCACAGTTTCTCATTATTAAATACAACAACTTTTAGCTTTAATTTAATAGTATCATTTATAAGAATGCAATTAAACTCCTTCGCGCATCTCCATAGTCCTTGAGACAACTACATAACTTCATAAGAGTACACAGAATAAGTCAGACAGTTACTTAATTAACTAAGTGTATGCTTTATCGTATACACTGTAAGGTCTAATTTCCATGTAGGGGAAACCGACTAAGAGTAATTTGGTCATGTATCTAAAATTACGTCGGTCGTCCAATAATCGATGTTCAAATAATATTTTTGACCTCCGACTTTGACAATAGCCACGAAATTCAATTAAACGCGTCCTCGAATGGTTTCGGTAACAATAAATACTTATCATTACGTCTATAAAATTAATGTAATTACGCATTTAAGTGAAAAGAGTTATTCGAATCACTACAGTACTATAAAAACGTGCATATAAGTAAAACACATTTAATAAAAATAAATAAGGCCCAACTTCAAGTCCCAAATAGCAACAATTAGAATAAATAAAATGCAATTACGCCATTTTTTGCAATCCAGCTATTGTTTGGAGTAAGAACGTCCATTATACTAGGTGTTCTAAGAAATGGCACGAGCTACAAAATAGCATATCTAAATTGCTTCAAAGCACGCGATATCAATCCGTTCCGTTTGTTTTTAATTGACAAACGAATTTACAATTAGAATTATACGCGACTATAAACGCCGGTGTTATTTAGTGGCCATTTCGCGACACCCACACTGTTAAGGCGATGCCATTTTTTAGGCCTGATTGCTTTTTGTTTTTGTCTTCATTAACCATTGATTAATTGTCAATACGAGGAATCTATGTCCTAGAAAGGTTATTTTTTACTTATATTTAGTTGGTGCGGAAATTAAAGAACAATATTTGTTTGAGTCATCATAGTGTGTTATTAAGAATGGCACGCCATCTACACTATACATGACAGATCACTGAACTAATTAATTTAATGACAGATACAAATCCGCACTGATATGACTGGTCTGTTGTAAAAACATCATTAATCAATACATTATAAAGAAATCATCAAAATGCAGAGTGTATATGGAAATCCCACCTCGGTGACAGTTGAACCGGTTAATAATAAATTTTTAAATTGTATTTTATACATATATTGTCATAAATCACCGGAGTCCAGTTAGGATTGCTAATAGCAAATAAAAAAACGAGATAGTGTTTACACAGTTGCTATATCTCTCCAACGCGGAAGGTAAGATGCAATATTTTATTGATGGTAACACTGACATCTGTCATGTCTTCAACTAATTAGTATTATGAAACAACATAAGCTGAGGTAATAATTAAAAGGTTACATCGGTCGTAAAACTGCTGACCACATGCTGAGACAGACAAACAAAGTGATAAAGTTACGTTTAGATATGAAGTAATCCTCTATTACACAAAAAATACAAACAATGGGAACAATTGACTGCCTCGATGGCCTAGTGGTCGCAATTGCGACTGCCAGGCAAGGGGTTTCGGGTTCGATTCCCGGGTCGGGCAAAGTATTACTGGGCTTTCTCAGAAAATTTCAGTAGTAGCACGGAGTCTGGAATTGTGGCCGGTATATGGCAATAGGCTCACACCCTATTACATAGGACTCATAACATAAATAGTGAACAGTGGGTGTTACATTGTACAGTGCCATTAAGTGCCGTAATGTACACCTCTGCTTACCCCTTCGGGGATAAAGGCGTAATGTTATGTATGTTATGTTATGGTTTCGTGACTCCACCTCGCAGGAGGAGTGACCTACCTGCACTTCATATAGGATCCACTCCAGAACAAGTCTACCCCAAATGTTAAAGGTAATCCTATAAATGTCCGCCTGTCACTCCAACTTGCTTAACCCTTCGGACTTTGCACAGAACTTGTCATCAATGAAGGGAAATGGACTGAGAGATGAATAATATTTATCAATAGTTTTAGCAACAACATTATTGAGACATATAACAGTTAAATAGCTAACTGTGGATATGCTTTGATCGACGTCCGCCATATAAAAATGAGATTTAAGTACAAAATTGCAGGAGTAGCACTAATTTTAGATTATTTTAAGAATTTTTTTTAATGCCCTAAAAGATTTTTAAGTTTTCACAAGCTTTCTTTCATTGTAAATGTAAAATGAAAGTGTATATTTATCGTTCGACAAATAATTACAATGACGTCGCCTTAACTCACGCCATGGTGCGCAAGAGCAATCAACTGACATCCTTCCTTTGCGCGGATTTATTTAATTACTCAAGTACAAGCTACAACGAGTTTAGTCGAATTTTTTATTTATTGTTTCTTCATTAGTCAAACGTTATTTTATTTATTTGTTATTATTATTTGGTCTCTATTTATATCGTCTAGTCTTTGGACAGTTACTGGTTAAATTGGAGCGTGGGCTTATGTCCGGTGTTTGGCATTAAGCTCGCTATTTTTACAAATAAATTATTAACTCTATTATAGACTTATTACTGTAATCAATCATCTGTAAGGTTGGCACTAAAATTGAATTTGTCTTACAAATAGGGTTTCGATCTATGGATAGTTTGTATTTTTTTTCTAATATTTACGTACCTCTTCTGGGATTGTCCTGCCAGTAATATTTAATTTCCAGTTGATTTTAAGCACTTGATTTTCCTTAATAATAGGATAACTTTATTATAATTACTAATAAAAATCAACACAAACACACATTGTTAACACACAATGACTCAACATTTAATTTGTTTCCTTCCAACGTCAGATATTCATCTCAACCCATTGATTATTTTCCGTTTAATTACGTATATTCAAATATTGACGTTAGCAAACATTGACGATTTCAATTACTTTTTGGTATACACATGTTAATTAACACAGCCCCCTCCGCTTCAGCGGCGGGTGCGCGGTGGGCGTGGCAAGTCATGCGCACGCGCACCGTTCCGTGAATCGTACAAGGCCGTCTGACCCACTGATATAATTTCTTTACTGTGTGCCTGTCTGCCTGTCTGTGTGTGACGTCTGTGCTCGAAGTTATTAAGACGATACTCAACTCCTTACATTCATTGGCCATCCTACGCACACAAAGGTATACCTCTATTGTTTTGAATACAAAGGGAAAAATAGGGGCTTTGAAGGGCGGTTCATGTAAAACTCTGTACAATACATTTTGTGTATGTGTGCTTTACCAGAAGATATCTAAAGAAGTGAAAATGTATCCGTTTGTCTGACATTCTGTAGTTGTGTGCGTGCCGTCTGTAGTCCACTAAGGAAATATACGAACATGTTGTCTAATTTCCCATTGGCTGCGCTCAGGTAATAGTTACACAGTTCTAGACTGAGGGACCGCTACGGGACTTTAGGATTATTTTTTGTTGAATGAACTAAGGTCGTGTGAAGCCGACGGTGAACTGTTTTAGTCTCTATAAGGGTACAAGCCAGACCGTTCTCAAGGCTATATTACTTGTTCGTTTTTTGTTCCCAATGCATTTATTCGCTGATTTAATTGGTTCGTCTAACTGGTAATCTAATAAGGGCATTGTTCTATTAATCATGTTTGCCATCTACGTTTCTGGGAAGGCCACTTAGAGCTATTTCTAATATGGACGTTCCCGAAATATCAAACCGAGCTTCCAGCACATAATAACCCAATTAGACAGCCGATACTTTGTCAAAGTTTTTCTCCGTCTTACGTAAGAATATCGTACATAACTGTGCCTGCCGGGAACCGAAGGCGCATACCTCGGCAGCCGCGCCGCTCGCGAATAATTCAGTAGTTTCTGAGAAACATTGGCGGCGTCGTAATAAATTTAGAGCTTCGGACCCTCATTATGCGGTACTGCCTACATTCCGAAGGCATACAGTTTGCCGAATAAAAAGTTACGAATCCGACTATTGTTTTGTGACACAGGACTATGTAACAATAGACGCGGCTTTGTGGAAACGCGTCAGATTTATTGTGTTTGTAAGTATCTGCTTTTGTATCTGAGAGACTATGCTGGTTGCGTAAGGCGCTGTGCAATCTATGACATATGACATTTTGTCAGGTGTATAAAAAGTTCAAAGAGTGCAATAAACATAAACTTCGCATGTTACGAAATATGTTTTCATACTTAAAAGTAAAATGTTGTGGCTTGCTTAGTCTCGAAGAAATTATAAAGTCATGTAACACACTTGATTTGCAGAGCTACTTGGAACCAAGCAAAGAGGCTATTTAATGCACAAGCTAAGCTACGACCCACCCCTGCTTACCAACTTCAACAAGCACATCAAGCACATCAAGCAGCTCTTCGTGTTTTCCTATGGAAGGATCGACAAACTGGCCATTCCTATGTGACTGTCTTACGATTGACCAACTTGTTTATCCGTCTAGTGGAGCTACTTCAGAAGCTTATTACAAGCAAAGCAAGGCATCATCATAATATCACTTTA